TTACAATAAACAATCCTGAGTTACAGAATGAAAACTTCCTGATAGCATGGCGGCTAGCTGATTACTGCTAGTTCTGATTGGCTATACAGGCAGGCTATACATGCAGGCTGCGAAATGAGAAGCAGGTGATCGGTTTGTGTGATCGGCAACAAGAGACCGTGATCGGTAATCAGCGATCATACACTTTTTCACGAAAATCGGCCGATTATGATCGGTGGCCGATCGATCGGCACACCTCTATTAGATTGAATTAGTTCATTTGGAGTCATTTACTTTATGCCAAATTTGTTTACTTTTTCCCACAATTCAATGCTCTATGCACAGTCTGTGAGCGCCCCCATATGGACAAATAATCAGTAACTGAATTAATTAATAGAATACTAGGGTCCTATATGAGGCACAAGTGCTGAGCATATGGAGGTGAGTATAAATTCGTTAGCGTTTCATAAAATTAGATATATTATTATATAAGTGATTATTCCTTAGCGAGCTGAACTCTGTGCTTAATACTCTTTAGAACAATGTTCTTGTGCTTCCTGTGTTCTCTGACCGTCTGGAAACTTTAACACTATTTAATCTAAGTAACGTAACCCAGACATGCTTGATTATTCCAAAAAGATTGATTTGGTTGCAATCTTTGTTGCAGAAGTTGTTCAAACAGTTTTAGGAGCATGCATGTTTGTTTTTTAGCAATCAGAGTGCTGACTTGACTGATGAGTGGATTTCAGCTGGACTCTTTAACAGCGTCATCTCTATTGATTATAGATGATGACTCTATTGACAGGAGCACCAACTGATCAGCTAACACATTGAAAACTGGGCTTTTTTATTTATTCTTTTAAAGCTAACGAAGCGTCCTGAGATAAGATCCTTACAGAAATATAATCAAATATGGTTTTGTGTAATAAGGTTCAAAACAGAAAGATATGCAGACTGAAGATTTTACTGCAGTCTAGAAAATGTCACAATTTTGCTTTTACAGACAAACTGCATTTATCCAACAAAAATTAAATGAATGTGTTTATCTCTGACAGGAGTATGGGTTGTGTGCTGATTTCTGCCCCAGCGGATCGGTTGTGTCTGTTGGCCTCAGCACAGGAAGGTAAATCACCACAATAACTATGCAACAATGATATGAAGTTCTGCTGATCACATTAAAATCATCCAAAATGGCTGCAATAGGGACAGTGCAGAGTTAAAAGTAGAGCAGCAGCTCAAAAACAGAGGCTGTTAGTCCTGAGCTCAGCTGACTGTGGTTTGATTCCCGAACATGGGGGAACGATCACATTCATTAAGGATTTTTTTCCGGCCACATTTGCTCCTCGAAGTCAATGGGTCCAGTTTTTAATAACGCGTTGGACAGTTCTCAACCCAATTTTAGTATTTTCTGAAAATTCCTTAGATATTTTCTCTACTTGATGCATGCCAATGATTTGACCCTTTCCAAACAGACTGACATCTTTTCCACAACCAACAATGAGAAGCAACTCATTGCACCAGTTGGGGTTAAATAACTTGCTGCCAGCTGAAACTTGCAGCAATTATCCAATAGGAGGCTTTCACCTATTTGCTTAATTACATTCGCTTGGCAGCTTTTTTTTTTGGCCAGGCAGTGTAATTTATTTAACAAAAGGCCGACGCCCCGCAGAGCTGCAGCCTCAGGCACCTGTCTACAGAAGGAGTGTACCAAGATGTGAATTTCCTTCTGGGATTAATAAACTATATTTATCATTCATTCATTTACTTGAAGGCGTTTTACACATCTTTAGCAAGCTGTCAATAAATGTGGAGTGTGTTGCAGTACAATGTAACAAAAAGAGCTTCACCTTGGATTAGTTAGCATAAAGCAGCAGCAGTGCATGTTTGACCTGGCAGCTCCCTGACCGTCTGCTTCTCCCTGTAACTCTGACAGGTGGGTGGTCCTCGATTTGGTAACCCAGGAGGTGATTTCTGAATCCACAGATGGGAATGAACAGCTATCAGTCATGAAATATTCACCAGGTATGCCATTACACTTTTTTTTTCTTTTTCTTAAGAATGTAATACATATCACAATGTTTCAGAACTTTCTGTGCATCTGTAAAATATTCACAGCTCTTTATTTTTTCCACAATCTTATTCCAAATTGTATCAAATTAATCTCTTTCCTCAAAATTCTACACAAAATTAAATGTATATGACTTTTCTGTGTGATTTTTGAAAATTTATTTTAAAAAAATAGAAAACCAAAAAATTGCATTTGGGGGGGGGAATGATAGAATATAAACACACTTTTAGTTAATTCTGTGGTTTTTTATTTATTTATTTATTTTTTCATTTTCTTCTCTGTACATAAATGAGGAAAGAAGGAATAACGTGAAAAACAGTGGAAGTCCCCTTTAACTGAACTAATGGCTTCTTGTGTCTTCAGACGGACGCTTTTTAGCTGTAGGCTCTCACGACAACTTCATCTACATCTACAGCGTGACAGAGAGTGGCCGCCGCTACAGTCGCTTCGGAAGGTGTAATGTGAGTTACATTCATGCATGTGTATCATAATAAGCAGGAAGAAGTAAGAGTTTCATTTAAGTTCTTTCTTTAATTCAATTAGTATGTGAAACACATGTATAGTGTTGATTCCTTACTGACAAAGTGATACATTTTAAGCATTTGTTAATTTTGATGATTGTGGCTTATAGCTAATAAAACCAAAAATTATTTTGTCTAGAAATTTGAAAATTTGCTCTGTACCACTTACAAAGCGAGATAAAGACCAATGAAAATAATATTTCTGAATACTGAAATGTGGGGCTGCTGAAAAGGGCCCACCATGTACTGTCCATGTGCTGTACAGCATATGCTCTCAGTTGTTGGGATTCGGATTCTTTTGCGTGAATTACTGCATTAATGCAGTGAGGCACGGAGACATCAGCCTGTGGTTCTGCTGAGGTGTGGAACAAGCCCAGGTTACCTCGGTAGCAGCCTTCACCAAATCTGCTGCTACTGCTGTCGGTTCTGGTGTCTGTCATTTCTTCTTGACAACAGCCCATAGGTTCTATATTAGATCAGGCCAGTTTACTGGTGTCACCATAGTGATTAAAGCTGTACTTTTAGCAGTGTTGGGCTGTTAACAAATCCTACCGGAAATTGAAAACTTCTCTATAAACCTTGCCAGCAGAGGGCGGCATAGATTGCTGGTGGAAGGTTGCACTTACTCTTGACTTGATAAAACCCAACAGACCAAAAGTAGCAGACATGAAGCTCCAAACCTTCACTGACTGTAGGAACTTCACACTGGACTTCAAGCAACACGGACTGTTCCTATCCAGTCTTCCTCCAGACCCTGGTATTTCCAAATGAAATGCAAATTTTAATTTAATCTGAGAAGACTCAAGACACCTGAGCAATATCCCAGTTCTTATATCCCAGCCAAGCCCTGGTCAGGCAGCGACTGGAAGTGGTGTCAAGGATGGAAGGAAGCTCAGTCCTGATGATCATCATTCTGCTGTCCTCACTACTCTCTGTATACTTTGCCAGTCAGAGGTGTTACATGCCACAAACCAGACTGGGTTGCTGCTGGTCAGTTTGCTCTCTACTGTCCCTCTGTAGGAAGTGATGAGGGTCAGAGGGGGGAGATTTGCTCCTCTCATCAGATGTAAAAATGCTGAAGTTTCTGAGTTTTTTCACCAGACCAGAAGTTTGGAGGGACCATGTCAAAATGTTGACACAGATATACTGTGATAAATCCATACCACAGTCTTATATTAATGTTTATAATGACATTTTCTTTATTAAGAAAAAGAAAACTGAAGAATAAAATAATCTACAATCATATTTGTCTTTTTTTATTAGGGACACTCCAGCTTCATAACTCACCTTGACTGGTCCAAAGACGGCTGTTACATTGTGTCAAATTCAGGCGACTATGAGATCCTCTACTGTAAGTACACATCCAGAATTGTGCAGCTGCGGATGTTATAAACTGAAAAAAAAATTCCATTATCACACCAGGAAAAAATGTGAAGTAGTGATCAACTAAAGTAACTGCAGACCTTAAGAAGGAGAGGCTTGAACCACTTGGAGCACATCTTCTCTATAGAGCCTATTTGACTTCTCTCAATATGTTTTAATAGGGGACATTGCCGGAGGATGCAAGCTGCTGAGGAACCGCTTTGAGAGCAAAGACAGAGAATGGGCCTCTTTCACTTGTGTGCTGGGTTTCCATGTCATAGGTGAGAAACATCAAACACACTCTGCAAGTAAATGTTGTGGCGTTGGGATAAGGAGCCAGGCTGATGCCAGTGTTTCTGTGGTTTGCAGGTGTGTGGTTGGAGGGCTCAGACGGAACAGACATCAATGCCCTGTGTCGCTCCCACAATGAGAAGGTGGTGGCAGTGGCCGATGACTTCTGTAAGGTCCACCTCTTCCAGTACCCCTGCCCTAAGCCAAAGGTACTGCTGACACAGTCATCCTTCATTTCACAGTCACTCTACATCGACAGACTTTTCAGTTGGACTGCAGGTCTAATGAGTCAGTCACGTTTACTAATTCAGTTTAAGTAAGAAAACTTTAATTATATTGCACCTTTCACAGATAAAAAAAACAGATGTACAATTAAATACAAACAACACAATAATTGTGTGAAATGAAATAAAACTCAAAATCAAAAGAACTGAAAATACTTGCCACCACCCATTGCCTGCCTGATTGAAAGAAGCGATCTTCACAGGTTTTAGAACAGGCTTCAGGAACTAATAGTCATTTCTGGCAGAAATTCTGAAGTGTACATAGAAAAATAAACTTGAAACTAGAAATAAGCACTAGTACACGAGTAGTATAATCTTATTCGGCATTGTCATCATGTGACGACAGGATTTCAAAAAGTACATCTTACATTGAGGAAAATGGGGGATTATTCAGGGCTTCCTTTTCAACCTCTCTTCAATGTCCTATGCCCTCCCCAGGCACCAAGTTACAAATACGAAGGCCACGGGAGTCATGTAACCAACGTCTGCTTCACCCACAATGACTCCCACCTTCTCTCCATTGGCGGGAAGGATACCTGCATCCTGCAGTGGAAGGTGACCGGAGGTGGGGTGGGAGAAAGCAGGGAGACACTGGCCTCTACCTCCTCCACCTCCACCAGCTCTCCGGAGCCTCCAGCCAGCTAGACGGAGCTGCTGGTACTACCAGTGAAGGGAGGGAAGCTGTCTGCTCACAGCCACCGAGGCTAATCAGTGATCAGCTTCATTTAGCCTCTGCTGCACCACTGCCGTCAGTCTCATGAACACATAGGGTTTCTCTTCAGGGGAAAATGTCAATTTTAACCCCCTACCATTACTTTGTAAATCCATCTGAAACTGACACATGTAACAGAATCTTTTGGATTCTGATGTGTAAGTGGTGAGGAAAGTTAGCATGTGTGTTGAGTGGAGCATAATGTGACTGTTATTACCTTATAGTTTCTGTGAACATGCTTGTTTTAGTCGTGTTGAGTTTATGTGTTGCATTATAACATACAGTATGCCACAGTGCCTATAGAAATGCTCTTCTATATTTTTGTACTTTAAACAGAAGTGACCAGTGTTGGCCGTTTCTGTGCATTTATGAAACAAAATGGAGAACAACTCCTGTCAACACGAACCCTGCTTATCTTACTAATTCATTCATTTCTGTGACCTTAGATCAGTGTACTTGAAAATTATTACTTGTAGTAAATGTTTTTTTGAATTTTGTATTGATTATTAATACAAACAAAAAGATAAAACTGAAAGTTGTGTCATTTTTTAGTTGTCATTAGAGGGCAGTGTTCACCCTTTAAATGTGAGATGTACTTTTAAAATGAAACTGAGCTTTGTAGAGAATCTCAGTGAAAACTGAAAGTTGGTTGAGAAAATTTTTGTATTAATATTATTCTGTATGGATATAATGGGAAATACAAACAATATATTTATTACCAGGGTTTGATTTTTAAAATTGAACTTTGATCTGGCTGAAATTTCTTGACTTGTAGATGTAGATAGACAGATTGATTTTTTTTTTTTTAACA